GCCGATTTTGTTAGTGAGAGCTGAGGCAGATTTCTAGCCCATGCCACAAGGTGATTCAAATGTAGTCCTGTTTCATTCTTTTCTCAGCAGAGACTAATCCTTTTTTTTTTTTTCTTAATAAGGCATTAAGCTTCCTGAAATTGTTAATGATCATAGATAAAATTATGCTTGGAGTCAATATTATTTCATGGTAATGATCCAAAGTCAGTGAAGATTCCACACAATCTTACTAAAACAACACATTATCCTTTGAAGTAGTGCTTTCAACCAAATTAAATGATGTTTGTTGAATTAAGAGGTAAATGTGTTTGCCTTGTCTCAGGAAGTGAAGAACCTTGTATGTGGGTGTGGTAGAAACCTATGCATGAATGACTGTCTTGCCCCACTGATTGTATTTAGAGAAAATCTTTTTTTGTAGTAGCTGAAAGATGCCTGAGTATATTTTTCCAGCTAGTGAGTCCGGATTTTCAGAATCCATTGCCGTTTTGGAGTCTTTATTGGTCAGTCTGAAACCTTGATTGCAGCACTCAGGCTGTTCTGCCTGTGGCTTTGATTGCATGGTTAGGGTATATTGTTTAAGTCCCCACCTTTGCGGGTGCCCTACGGTTTTCTTTCTTAGCTTCATGTTACCCAATTCAGCTTGACAAATTACAGTAGTTTGGGGATTTATTCCATTAGAAATATGTTCAGGAGACATTTTGATTCTTTTCTTCTTCTACTCCTCTTGAATTTTAGAAAGAGGAAAATATACTTTCAAAGTTGCTGTTCTATGGGAATTTGTGAAGTAAATTGTCTTTAATCACCTTCTCCCTGCCAGGGCAATCTCTTCATAGAGCACTGAAAATTAGATAAAAAAATAGTTAAGAGTATAGAAGAATAGATTAAACTAATAGAAAGAAAATAAAGTCAATTTTGGAGCATTTTGCATTTCTCTGAACAAATTACTTTGAAAAGAATATAAGAAGACACCATGAAAGAAAGAAATGTGAGATTGTTAGTACTAATATGTATTTTACTTTAGTTAGTAGGAATTATGAGTAGTATGAATTTAAAGTTGTAATTACAGAAAGTCTACAAAAAGTAAATCTTCAAAAGCTTTAATAAACTGTCTATTTTTTGTAGATGAATTCTTGTATTAAAAACCCAAAAATTCTTCTGTTGAAGTGTTCCATTGAGTATCTTTACAGAGAAGAAACGAAGTTTACTTGCATTGATCCTATTGTGCTTCAGGTAAGAACTCATTACTGGGGCCGGCAGGTGGTGTGGTGGTTAAGGGTGCTGGACTCCCAACTGGCTGACCGTGGTTCGAGTCCTGGACCTGGGGGCTTCTTCCTCACTTTCCCCCCTTTTTCTCTCTTTCTCTGTTCCTCTCTGGTCAAATTTAAATAAATAAATAATTAAATTAAATTAAATTAAATAATTCTTTTAAAAAATTTTAACAAAAGCACTCATTACTGAAAGTAATAATTTGGACGAATGTGTATTGTGATGCTTGCACATTCTTGTATCCCACCTAATGAAACTGAATAGACCAAAAACTCATATTTTTAAAAATTTATTGTATAAGACACTTTTATGTGTAACACTTTAGTACCAGCTCACTAAAACTTCTTTCACTCATAATTTTTAAAGTTTCAAAGTGTTAAAGAGAACACCTGACTGAGACTATAGAAGGAAAAGTAAAAATCCAAATACGAGTTTCTGGACCAGCTGGTGATAGGGTGGTTAAGGCCACTGGATTCCTCATGGCCAACTGTATGGTTTGAGTTCCAGACCTGGCAGCTTGAAAAACATGCCAGTTGTGTGTGTGTGTGTGCGTGTGTGTGTGTGTGTGCGCGTGCACGCGCATGCTCGTGTGCGCGTGCACGTGCATATGCCCAAAATCCTGAAAGGAGGGAGAAGTGGAGGAGAAGTGATTGTCGGTGACCATCCTCCCTGGGGAGGGGTGCTATTCATTTTCTCTCTGTCTCTCTATGGTAAGCACTCCTGCCCTCTGGAAAAGGGAAAAAAGCAAAACCAAAACCAAATACCAGTTTTCCTTTCCTACTTGGGACATTGATTTACTGTGACAATTTCTGTAACTTACCAGATCCTTAATGGAATCTCTGGTTTATAAAATAGTCTGCTCGACTAAAACACATTTGTAAAACAGTTGGCTTGGCAAATGGGAATAACGTCAGATGAAGTCGTGTTGGTTTCTATGTGTTTTTTCTTAAGCATGGAGGCCCAGAATATCTGCAATAGGATTATAACCCTTAGCTGGAAAGGAAAGCAACCGCAGCTCAGCTGCTGCATGGGCTGGAGCCCTCTCAGCTCTGTTTTAAGAAATTAAAAGTGAACACTGTTTATAGGGTTTTTTCCCCAGAGAGCTGCACCCTGGGCTCTGGGTGGCCCTTGATAGCCTTACTGCTCAGAACTCCATTTCCAGTTGTATCCTGGCATTTGTTTTTGTGCATTTAAAATTTCCCTTGAGGCAGCCTCCAGCTAAGCTGAGCTGTCTACTTGAGCTTTCCACATCTCTCTAAGGTATCAGTGAGTATTTTTGTTAGTGCTGTAGATATGAAGCTGCATAGACTGTAATAAATTTTCTGTCCCAACCCCATTCCTCCCATAAGTGCTGTTAATATTAGTTTGTAGTTATTTAAAATGAGAAATTTTCAGGAGTATGTACATCATTTTATAGTATAAATACTTGTACCTGGTTTCAGAAATATTTGGGAAAAGCATTATTTGAACATTCATAGGTAATCACATATTCCTGAGTGGTAGCAAAATTGGAACCAGCAGGTGGCATAATGGTTACGTCGCTGGACTCCCACATAGTTGAATACTGTTCAAGTCCCGGACCTGGGAGTTTCAAACTCACACAAGGCACGTGTGCATGCATGCCCAGAATCTCGAGAGGAGAATGGAGAAGGGATTACAGTGTGACCATTCCCTATAGGGTGATTTCTCACTTTCTGTTTCTCTGGCAAGCACACATACCCTACAGCAAAAATCTCTCTCTCTCTCTCTCAAAAAAAAAAAAGAAATGAAAGGGGAAAGGTAGCAAAATCACATTTGTTTTAAATTTATGAATACCAACCAGAAAAACTGAGTTGTAGTGAAAGGCACAGCGCTTTATGAAACTATGCTCTTACTTAATGAACTCCTTCCTGGAGTTGGTTTCTCTTTGGAATTCAGCTATTTATACCAGTCTTTTTACTCCTGATTTATATGATTTTTAGTAGAGAACTTGGATGAAGGGAAACATAATTATTATTGTTCATGGTATCTAAGATACTTAGATGCTGGGAGTTTGGTTGGTTTTAGGGTAGATATCAACAGAAAACTTTCACAGACTTGGAACCCAGCTGCACCGATAGTAAGATACTCCTGGTTGCACGGATGTTCAAATGTATAAAATTGTATGTCTTGGAATTGATGAAGAAGGGTAGTTGAAATCCACAGTTGATTATAAAAAGGTTATTTTGAAATTTATGCACTTTATTATTATTTCACTCTTGGCAATCAGGTTAACAGCTAAAGTCTTTGTGCTAGAGAGGCATGTTCTGGTCAGACACATAGTTAAGAAACATGATTTAATTTATTTAAGTAAAGTATCATGTTTGTCAGTGGTTTTAAACATAGTTTTATTATACCTTTAATTCCTGTCTTGCTAAACTTTTTAGTTTAATCAGTAGAAAGTATCACCTGATTTCAGTTTTTTTTTTTGTCTACCTTGTGTGGAGTAACTAGTCTGAGAAGAAGCTAAAAGGTAGTTAGAAAAAGGAGAGTGACAAACAAATGGAAACAATTATACTTGAATTGTGCCAAGTGAAATATTTCTGATTTATCTTACTTAGGAAAGGGGATTTGTGAAGAATTATGTTCAGTGAATAGTTGATGTTTGACCCATGTTGGTTCTAGTTGAGAAAAGTGTCTCTTATTAGGGGAGTTTATAGGGAAAAATGAAATTAAAGTACTAGTTTATTTTGGTACAGAAAGTTTTTAAGATCCATACATAGTTACTTTTATAATATGGACTTTTTGCAAACTTTTTGAAGACCCCTTGCATACCACCTTCACAAGGCCAGGCCCACAATTCTGTCGATTGGCACATTCTGTGCTCATGGCAACCCCTGATAACTTTCTTACTGAGCTTGGATTAGGCCTCCTTTCTGATGTACTGCTTCATCAGCCATAATAGTTGGTTAGACTTGGAACTGAGAGGAAATTTATTTCCTATCCCTGTACCAGAGGTAGGAACTTTAAAAAAAATCTTCTTGTTCTAATTATATTTTATTGGAGCTATACAAATAAAATGATTTTAAATGCCATTAAATTACAATGTAGTAAGAAGAGTAGAAAATTAGCACATTTCAGGAAAACTTGAATGGGAGAATTTGAAAATGTTAATTTAAGTCAGTAAAACAGAAAGGAGAGAAGAAAGCATCTCCAATGGGCAGATTCATTGCAGAGAATAGGCTTATTCTTTGCTATTGGCAATTGCTCTGGAAATACTCCAGGCACGTGGAGCAGGAGTGACAAACATTTCACCTTCAGTTGTCTCCTGTCTGGAGCTAGCAGTTTTATAAACCAGTTAATGAATTATATGGTTTACATTGTTTATTTACAGTACTTGCTTGTATTGAAATTAAGCCTTTGTAATGGAATTGTAGTCAACATCCTATTTTAGATTTTTAACTATAAGTGTTCTAGGCAGAATATGCTCTATTGAGATAATGAAATTAGGAAATAGCACCTGTTAAGAGAGTTATTATTTAGCTACCTAAAAGAAGAGCTACTATGGTTGGTTTCGTTATGTAAAAGAGAGAATTCATAACCATTTTATAAAAACATAGGAGGGCCAGCAGATGGCGTACAGAAAGGATTCTCTTTTTTTTTTGGAGAGTTTTTTTTTTTTTCCCACTATAGGGCACGTGCGCTCACCAGACAGACAGAGAGAGACATAGAGACAGAAAGCGAGAAATCACCCCCCAGGGGGGATGGTCACGCCGCAATCCCTTCTCCTCCATTCTCCTCTCGGGATCTTGGGTACGCATGCACACGCGCCCGGCATGAGTTTTAAGCCACCGGGTCCGGGACGCGAACCGCGGTCGACTACGTGGGAGTCCAGCGACATAGCCATTACATTAACTGCTGGTTCCCAGTAGTTGGATTCTCAAATAGCCAGCTCTGGTTTGATACCAGACCTGGTGGCTTGAAAATCACACTGGGCATGTGTGCCTGTGTGCCCATAATCTCAGGAAGAAAATGGAAGAGAAGGGATTGCAGTGTGGCCATCCTTCCTTGGGGGGTGATTTCTCACTTTCCCTGTCACTGCCTCTGTCTTTCTCTCTCCTGTGAGAGCACTCACATTAAGGCAAAACCTCTTAAAAAGAAAAAAACAAACAAACAAACAAAAAATACTGCTTAGTGTGGGCCCTATAGCTTAGTGGCTAAGGGACCCAAATCCTACATGACCAGAAATACAGTTTGAGTCCCTGCCCTGATGGCTGGAAAAACACTCTGGGTGAGTGTGTGTGCATGCCTGAACTCCTGATAGGTTAAAGAAATGGAGGAAAAAGGATTCCAGTGTGACTATGTCCCAGTGGGGTAGGGAAGATGCTTTCTTCCTTTTCCTTTTATTCCTTTCTCTTTCTCTTTCTGGAGAACACATAAGCAGCCCCCTGGCAGACTGGGACAAACAAACAAACAAACAAAACACTAGAAATTATTTTTGTTGTGGGAGTTGTGAGGTTAGGTTAAGATTTTTTTTTTTTTCTCCAGAGGTTAAGAATTTTTGTTGTGGGGTTAGATTAAGAATTTTTGTTATTCTTAACTGTTTTTTAAATCTCTGAGAGCTAGCTAATTGGATTCTTGATTTTTATATTAGAGATTATTAAGAATTGAAAGTTCTTCAAGGAGAAATCTGTTGGAGAATGGAATTTTTTCTAAAACTAATTTTAGCATAATCAACAATTTAGAATGACAAATGAATTTCTTGATTGTGTTTGAATTAATCTGCTTATAGACTTAGTGTAGATGAAGACAATTTAGGCTGAGATTGATATTAATAGTCAAGGTATTCTGATATTTTAATATATCCAGACCTTAAATTGGTACCAAGTATAATATTTCTAATTTATCTTATTTAGGAAAGGGAATTCTTGAAAAATTATGTTCAGCGAATAGTTGATGTCCGACCCACATTGGTTCTAGTTGAGAAAACAGTGTCTCGCATCGCCCAGGACATGTTACTTGAACATGGCATTACTTTGGTCATTAATGTAAAATCGGTGAGTATTCTTCCTCTTATTTCTTAATTTTTGCTATTTTTATTTATTATATTTTTTAAAATTGTAGTTTTGGGCCAGCCAGTGGTGTGGTAGTTAGGGCGGCTGAATCACTCATGGTTGACTGTGTGGTTCGAGTCCCAGACCCAATGGCTTGAAACACATGTTGGACCCACGTATGTGTGTTTGTGTGTGTGTGTGCTTGCATGCACATGTGCGTGTGTGTGTGAGGGTGTGCACATGCCCAGGATCCCAAGAGGAGAATGGAAGAGAAGATTGTAGTGTGGCCATCCCCCCTAGGGACGGGATTTCTCACTTTCTCTCTTGCTCTTTGGCAAGCACGTGTGCCCTATAGCAAAACCAAAATAAAACAAAAATGAAGACATTTCAGCTTTAGATTTATGTGCATATATCGTAGGAATATAGGAATCTGTACTTCTTTTCTGCATTTTATATATATATATATATATATTCACGTACATATACACACATACACATATATCCAAATATATAAACACATGTATATTTAATGGAGAGACAGAGATTAATTTTGACAGAATCTCTCCATGTCAGGATTCTTCTGTGTCAGTTAGTTAGGACTACAGGCATCTGGCCTATATAAGTTGGGCCAGGAATTGAACCAAGGCCTCCCATGTGGCCTCAGCTTCCAAGTACCAGTGTCTTAGCACCGTGCACTGATGAAGCTGAGTCTGCACCATATGTGTGTGTGTGTATATATACATATTTTAATAATTACTTAATTTTATTTATTATTATTCTCAATTGTTATAGGGCATGTGCGCTCACCAGACAGAGAGAGAGAAAGAGAGAAAGCAAGCCACTAGGTTCGGGACTCAAACCACGGTGACCATGTGGGAGTTCAGCACCTTAACCATATCACCTCTGGCCCCTCCTATATATATATTAAAAGTGCAGTAGGGGACCAGCAGTTGGTGTAATGGTTACTGTCACTGGACTCCCACATAATTGACTTTGGTTTGAGTCCCGGACCCAGTAGCTTGAACTCATGCCGGGTGTGTGTGCATGTGCGTGCATGCTCAAAATCCCAAGAGGAGAAGAGAAGAAGGGATTCCGTGTGGCCATCCCTCCTGGGGGAGAGGGGTAATTTCTCACTTTCTGTCTCTCTATCTGTCTCTGTCTCTCTGGAAAGTACATGCACTTTATAACAAAAATCTCTCTAAAAAAAGTGAGTAGAAGGCATGATAATTATTTTTAGTCATGAATCACTTAATGAAAGGGATATGTTCTGAGAAATGCATCATTAGGTGAATTTGTCATTGTGTGAACATCGCAGAGTATACTTACGTAAACCTAGGAGGTATAACCTACTGCATACCTAGGCTACCTGGTATATAGCCCACTGTAGCTACAAACCTGTGTAGCATGTTACCGTACTGAATACCGTAGGCAGTTGTAACACAGTGTTACAGTATTGTCTTTCTAAATATGTCTATACATGGAAAAGACACTGTTAAAATAAGATGCAAATGATAAAAATGGTATGCCTGTATAGGGCACTTACCATGACTGGAGGTTGGAGAACTGAGTGTTGCTCTTGGTGAGTGAGTGAGTGAGTGAGTAGTTAAGTTAATGTGAAGGCCTAGGATGTTACCATACACTACTGTAGTTGTTATGAACACTGCACTTAAGCTACACAAAATTTATGAAAGAAAATTTTCTACAATAATTAATTAACTTTAGCTTAATGTTAAGCTTTTTACTATATTAACTTTTAGAATTTTTTTGAACTTTTTTATTCTTGTAATAATGCTTGGCCTAAAATACAAACATACTGTATAGCCATACAAAGATATTTCCTTTCTTTATATACTTATGCTATGAGATTTCTTCTATTTTTATTTATTTATTTTTTTATGTTTAAACTTTTTTCGTGAAAACCTAAGATAGAAGCACACACATTAGCTGAGCCCTACATAGGGTCAGGATCATCAGTATCACTGTCTCCCTCCCCTACATCTAGTCCCACTGGAAGGCCATGATGAACAAGAAATACGAAATTAATTCAAGCACAAGATAAAATAATGTAATCACCAGACACAGTAAACAGGGAATGCATGAAGCTTCTCTTGACCTAACACAGTATTGTGTGTATACTGTTTCATTTTGGGGAGTCAGGAAAGTCATGACGCATTTTTGCATAGAAAAACAGAAAAATACATCTGACTTTTCTTATTTAACAGTAAACCATTTCTTATAAGTGAAAGAATATACTCTAAAAGGATGATAAAAAGTATGATAAATACATACATAAACCAGTATTGTGGTCATTTGTCATCATCATCATGCATTATGTACCGCACATCATTCATTGTATGTGCTATACTTGATGTGCCTGGCAGCACAGGAGGCTTATGTCAGCATCACCACAAACACCTGAATAATGCCTGTGCTCTGATGTTGCGACAGCCATGATTATCGCTAGGTTATGACGCAGATGATAGGAATTTTCCAGCTTCGTTATAATCTTAGAGTACCCCAGTCATAGATATACTCCATCATTGACCAAAACACATTATGCAGAGCATGACTGTTTAAGGCTGGAAAAGCTCAGACTGCAAGAAAGTGTGATTGATTATATAATATTTACATATATCTACCAGACCACCATTAGTTATTCAGAAGGTATTTGTTTGCCTTTCATTTTGGTTGGAGAACTGTACATGCAGAAAATGTTTTCTTCCTTGAAGTTTACCTTCTGTAGAACAGAAGGCAATTCTAGGAAATTTCTCCCCCCCAGTATCTCGTGCTAGTAAATGATGCTTAAATACTTTTTGATAATGTTATTAATACAAGTAAAGTTTGTTTTAAGAGGCATAAATTGATTACTATGCAACCAAATGTAAACTAATCTTAAATCAAAACAATTTGTAATATGATTATTAAAATTAGGGAAGTATATTGTTAGAGTTATTTTTTAAGTTTCCCAGTACTTTTCCTGATTAAATTATCTGAGGTTTTTTATTCTCTAATTTTATGTCTTTCTGTATTGTAGCAAGTTTTAGATCGAATCAGTCGGATGACCCAAGGTGATTTAGTAATGTCAATGGACCAGCTGCTTACGAAACCACACCTGGGCACTTGTCACAAATTTTATATGCAGATATTTCAGTTGCCTAATGGTGAGTGACCTTTAAGCATAGATTCACCTGTGATTGGGGAACTGAGAGAATGAGTTAACTCATCAATACTATAATGTTTACTTAGTAGGAAATATATGTTAGCAGTAGTTAAGTTGGGCAACTGTGGTCTTATTCTTTTATATGTTAAGATAGTGAATTAATGGAGCCAGCAGATAGCATGGTGGTTAATGCACTGGATTCCCATGTGATCAACCACAGTTCAAATCCTGGATCTGGCATCTTAAAAATCATGCCAGGCATGTGTGCATACTTGCCCCATATCCCAAGAGGAGAAGGGGTTGTGGCTTGGACCCCTTATCCAGGGGGTGATTTCTTACTTTCCCTCTCTTTGTCTTTCTCTGCCTCCTGTCTCTCTCCAGTGAGTGCATGTGCCCTATGGACAAACGCACACACTCCTAAAAAAAAGATAATTTTTGTCTGGACTTCTGCATTGCCACGTAAGCCTTTTAACTTTTTGTTTGTTTATTTGCAGAACAAACCAAAACGCTGATGTTTTTTGAAGGCTGTCCGCAGCACCTAGGCTGTACAATCAAGCTTAGAGGGGGCTCTGACTATGAGCTGGCTCGAGTTAAAGAGATCCTCATATTTATGATCTGTGTAGCTTATCATTCTCAACTAGAAATCTCCTTCCTCATGGATGAATTTGCTATGCCTCCCACATTGATGCCGAACTCTTCATTTCATTCTCTGATAGAGGGACGGGAGGATGAGGGGGCCGCACAAGAGCAGTACAGTGCAGGTTCCCTCCCCCGGGATCCTGACTTCCCCCCTGAGGTGCTGCCCTCTGATGACAACAGTTTGCTGGAATCAAGGATTGTGTTCGAGAAGGGTGAGCAGGAAAATAAAAGTGTTCCGCAGGCCGTTGCCTCACTGAAGCATCAAGAGTATCCTCCAACAGCTCGCCCGGCAGGTGTGCCCTGTGCTCTCTTTCCTTCGGTACCAGAATCATTATTGCCTCTCCATGTGGACGACCTGCAGGATGCTGTTGGCAGCGAGCAGTCAGAGATGCTGCAGCAAGCAGATGAGCTGCAGGATTCCAAAAGCCAAATGAGAGCCTTTAGAGACCCTCTACAGGATGACACCGGATTATATGTGACAGAGGAGGTCACCTCCTCTGAAGATAAACGGAAGACTTATTCTTTGGCCTTTAAACAGGAATTAAAAGATGTGATCCTCTGCATCTCCCCTGTAATCACATTCCGGGAACCCTTCCTTTTAACTGAAATGGGAATGAGATGCTCTACCCGGGATTATTTTGCAGAACAGGTTTACTGGTCTCCTCTCCTCAATAAAGAGGTCAAAGAAATGGAGAGCAGGAGGAAGAAACAGCTGCTCAGGGATCTCTCTGGACTTCAGGGCATGAACGGAAGTGTTCAAGCCAAGTCTATTCAGGTCTTGCCCTCGCACGAGCTAGTGAGCACGAGAATTGCTGAGCATCTGGGTGATAGCCAGAGTCTGAGTAGAATGCTGGCTGATTACCGAGCCAGAGGAGGAAGAATTCAGCAGAAAAACTCAGACCCTTTTGCTCACTCAAAGGATGCATCGGGTACTTCCAGTGGCAAATCAGGAAGCAAAACGGAGAGTGATGAAGAGAAAGGGCTGATTCCGAGTGATGCAATGTGGTCAACCAAGGTGAGCCAGACCGCTTTTGGGTGTTCATGTAAATTTAGAATACGTTGAAAAACTCTACTGAATCAGAGTAAAAAAAGTCAATATGACAAATTGCATGCATATTTATTAAATATTAAATATTTCTTCTTTGCTTTTTTTTTCTTTTTCTGTCTTGAATCTGCTGGCGTATGTGTTGTTTTAGTATGTATGATGTGGATTGCAAAATAATAAAATGGGGTTTAGCGTTTTTAGTTGAGATAGCAGTAAGAGGAACCCTGAGGTGAGAGGAAGTGCAGAATTGCTTAAAGTTTCTGTCAGTGTTACGTGGAAGTGGTGTGATGTGTCCTTGATCCTTTTAATGGCAATGACAGGGAGAGGGAATCTTATCGTGGGAAATGGATGTGTTTTTAAAAACACTGTTAGATTTATTATCATTACTATTTTTAACATAAAGCACTTTCCATTGTTATTTAACTGTGACAGTGGCCTTTTCTTTTTAGGGAGAAATTAAGCACAGATTAAGATTTGTTTAATGATACATTGATAAATGGGAGTAATAAAGCTAAAGAACAATTGTATCTGCAGATGAGGAAATGCAATTGTTTAGTAAAATAAAAAGATACTCGATTTCACGGTAGTCAGAGAAGCCCTAAATATTAGTGGGGCTAAAATGTTTTTATTTGTGAGATTGGCAAAAAGGAAAGTAATAAGAGAGCCATCGCTAATAAGAGTGTAGGAAAATTCCTTTCATAAATTTTGTAAAAATTTATCTAAGTTTTTGTTTATTTACATTTGTATAAATATATAGAAAGTGATAGGGAAGTCTCTATAAATTTACATGTACATGTATATACCTTTGACCCTGAATTCTTCACTTTTATAAGCTATTCCTGCAGAAGTAAACATGTTTGTATAAGGATACTTACTTTAAGGATATATGTGCAGCAGTGTTTATCGAAGCATTGTTCTCACTTATTTGCAGCAAGAAAGATGATTGGATCCCTTTTAGTACCTGGATAAAATCCATAATATATTTTTAGATTTTAAAAAGCAAGTTGTGTTAATATATGTAGCAGCATTTCATTTTTATAAAACAGATCATCTGTGTGGGTACGTGCACGTGTGTGTGTGTGTGTGTGTGTGTGTGTGTAGGTGTGTATGTGAGAGCTAGCAAGAAAAATGTGGTTTTTTTTTTTGGGGACCAGCAGTTAGCTCAATGGCTATGTCGCTCGACTCCCACGTAGTCAACCACGGTTCGAGTCCCGGACCCGGTGGCTTAAAACTCACGCCGGGTGCATGTGCGTGCGTGCCCAAGATCCCGAGAGGAGAAGGGATTGCGGCGTGGCCATCCCCCCCCGGGGGGTGATTTCCTGCTTTCTGTCTCTCTGTCTTTCTCTGTCTGTCTGGCGAGTGCATGCACCCTATAGCAAAAACCTCTCCAAAAAAAAAAAAAAAGATGTGTTTTTCACAATACAGACTACCAGCTTGGAAGGTGGGGTGGCATCATTAACTTCTTCATGCTCTGTACTATCTGAATTTTAACAGATTGCAGATGTCTCTTTTTTATGATCAAAAACAGGCATAAAGCACAGATAAATACCTTAGAATTTAGATTTCTGGGTGCCTCACATTGATGTGTGCAGTCATCTGTTCATACTGATTGACATTGTTATATTTAGTCAGATTTTTAAAAATGATTTAAAGCAATATTATAAAAAATGAAGAGTATTTAAGGTAAAATAAATAAACTATATGGGATTTAAATCCCCCCCACCCCAGAGGGCTTGTGCACTCACTAGAGATAAATAGAGGGGAAGCACCCCCCCTCCCCACAGTGGATAGTAGTCATGACGAAATTCCTTCTCAGTTTCTCTATCCTGCCAGGATTTTTGGCATGTAATTGTACACACGCAGCATTATTTTCAAGCTGTTGGAGCTGGTACCTGAACCTCAGTCAGCCGTGTGGGATCCAGGATCCATAGCCACTAGGCAATAAGGCTGCCCCTTGGTACCTTTTTGTATTTTTAAGTTAAGGTTTTTGGGTTGTGTCTTCTTAACAACCAACTGCCTTTCTTCTTTATATTTAGTTTCTCATAGTTTTATAGCTTCACTAGAACGCCAACAGAGATGGTAGGAGGCTTTATAAGTGCCTGCACAGGAATTGGAATATGCTCCGGCTTCAGGTGGCTCACCTGCTCCTTCTTTTTCAGGTGGACTGTCTGAATCCTGTTAACCACCAGAGGCTGTGTGTGCTCTTCAGCAGCTCTTCTGCCCAGTCGAGCAATGCGCCCAGTGCCTGCGTCAGTCCATGGTAGGATTCTCTTCACTCTGTACTGTCAGCACTTAGGGACAGAATTCCAGCAACTAAAAAGCCATTTGGACCTGTTTTTAGGTATATGGTACACTTTATGAAGTGATAGAACTTTTAAACTTGTGTAGTAAGTAGGAAATTTGTGTTTGCTCATGAGTGGGAGTAAATGAGAAGACCTTAAGTAAGACAAAAAAATGTGAGACATAGAGAATTGGCTCTTACAAAAGTGAGAGAAAGTTGTCACACAAAAGCTAGTTTATAAACATTTTGATGATAACGTGTATAATTTAGACAGGTTTTCCTTCAGGCATCATTTTTATAAAAATAGTCTTTGCCTTGTTATCAAGCTTTATTTAAAAATAATGCTAAGTGGATTGATAGAAATGGAAACACAATAATGTTATAAATATTCTTTTTTTCAAATGATAGTTAAAAAAGCTTTACATAGCCTTACTTTACTTAGTTTACAATTAATTTAAAAAATACCGTGGATTCCTGGGATCAGCAGATGGTGTGATGGTTATGTCACCACTATACTCCCATGTAAACCATGGTTTGAGTCCCAGACCTGGCAGCTTAAAACTCATGCCAGGCATGTGTGCATGCATGCCCAAACTCCCAAGAGGAGAATGGAGGAGAAGGGATTGTAGTGTTGCCATCCCCCCTGGGGGTGATTTCTCGCTTTCTGTGTTTCTCTCTTTCTCTGACAAGCACATACGGCCTATAGCAAAAATCTCTCTTTAAAAAAAAAAATACTATGGATTTCTTGTGCAGGGGCCATATAATCTTCTTTGCACCAATTTTAGTATATGTGAATAAGAAATCATAAAAAGTTTTGCAGCATATGTTACCAATAATATAATTTGAACTTTCAAGTAAAAATTAAAATTTTGGAAAAAAGAATACTGTGGAATATAACTGCTTTTTTTGGAGCACTGTTTCCATGACAGATGTGTTCTGTATTTTAATTTTGGACACCAGAAATACTTCCAGCAGGGAGTTCAGGGATTTTTCTAGAAGCGGTATAGCTCCAGCAGGCAGATGTGGGGCTGAGGGAGCCCATAGGAATTTTCCCTGCAGTTTATGAACTTTGATCAAGGCTATTGGTGTGGGTTTAAATAGGTATACAGGCAAATGCTCTTACTTGTGAGTGTTTTTAAAAAGTTAGATATAAAGTTAAGTATTAGCTTTTTAGTAGGAATATGAGCTGCTATTCTTCATGTTCAGTAAAAGTGTAGATAGACCAGAGAACAAGAGATAGGAGTCCCATTTTATGTCGAAAAGGCTTAAAGCTTTTTAAAGGAAACTTTTACCTCTCTTCATGACTCAACCAGTTTTACTCAGGTAATGTTACAGTGTATGAATCTGCATTTATTAGGTCGTCGGGAAAGTCATGATCTATTTTCTATGTAAAAACACGTCCTAACTTTCCCAACGACCCACTAATAGTTTCATAAGACACTAATGGACTGGTAGTGGAAAAGACGCTATAGTGTGGCTAGTCTGAGCTTGTTTTGCCAGGTGAAGTAAGGCCTGTTATATACTATGTTACGAAGAATATAATCTCCATTAATACTTTAAGTACATTTAACAGGTAATCAGAATTTGTGGTCTCTTGAAATGTCTTTGCTGTGTGGTATTTCTTATTTCTAAGAAGTGATTTCTTTCTTCAGGATTGTAACAATGGAATTTTATGGAAAGAATGATCTTACATTAGGAATATTTTTGGAGAGATACTGCTTCAGGTAAGAGCAGATTTCTTCCTTAAGATCCATTGTGTATGCATTTTTGATGCCTAGAATTTCAACTAAAATATAACATGAATTGGACACCAAATACTGTTACGTGGTCCTCTCTTTAATACCACGTAACAGAGTATACCATACAAAGAAGCAGTCTGTTTCATATTCAAACTAGAATTTCTTATCGAGCACATTTCTCATATTTTTGCCCTCCAGTTACCTTGCCACTCCTAAGAATTTTTAGGATGTCTGCGCACGATGTTTCAAATGAGAGGCAGGGGAAGCATTGGAATCAGCTAGACCTCAGAAGTTTAAGAGCTTCACCTGCTGCTTACAGGACAAAGTGCAAATAATTTAATCTTTAACAGCTTTTTTATAGGGAACAACGATCTCTAGATATAGACATATGAATTAATCAGATGTTTTAAAACTATTTGGCTAATAGAAGGTGCTTAACAGGGCCAGCCCCGTGGCCTGATTGTTCAGGCAGCTGGATCTCACATGGACAGCCAGGCGGTTCTAACCTCAGACCTGGCAACTTGAAGAACATGCTGGGCACTGTGGTGTGTGTCCAAAATCCCAAAAGGAAGAAGAAACAGGAGAAAGGATTATGGTGTGACAATCCCATGGGGAGGGCTTTCTCACTTTTCCTCTCTCTTTAGTGAGTACATCCACCCTCTGGCAAATTTTTTATTTATTTATTTATTTTTGGAGAGGTTTTTTGCTATAGGGCGCGTGCGTTCGCCAGACAGAGACAGAGAGAGACAGAAAGCGAGAAATCACCCCCTGGGGGGATGGTCATGCTGCAATCCCTTCTCCATTCTCCTCTTGGGATCTTGGGCACGCACGCACACGTGCTCGGCATGAGTTTTAAGCCACCGGGTCCGGGACGCGAACCATGGTTGACTGCGTGGGAGTCCAGCGACATAGCCATTACGCTAACTGCTGGTTCCCCCCTCTGGCAAATTTTTTAAAAAATAAAAAGGTGCTTAACAAATAGAAACTCCCACTGTCAAAATGCTGCGACTGAATGCAGGATGTTTAGCTGTAGGTTCAGAGCAGCTTGAGTCCCTGCACGGATTGTCCACTGTGATTGTTACCTTAGAGAGGATGCTGCATTTCCCTAGCAGTGGTTCTGATTAGCCAGCATTCACTGTGCATGGCCTCTCTGTTTCATGCTTAATGTGAGAAGGACTCTCTTATTTGTCAAAGGCCTTCTTATCAGTGTCCTAGCATGTTCTGCGATACTCCCATGGTGCATCACATTCGGCGCTTTGTCCATGGCCAAGGCTGTGTGCAGATAATCCTGAAGGAGTTGGATTCTCCGGTACCTGGCTATCAACACACAATTCTCACATATTCCTGGTGCAGAATCTGCAAACAGGTAAATATAGCCTGCCACTATGGTATCTCATATGTCATTTATTTCTTTATTTGTATAGTTCTTTTTTGGGGGGGAGGAAGGGAGTCTAAATTATTTTAGATTTGTTATTTGTCAGTAGGCTCTTAATTATTTTACCTTTCATTGTTATATGTTCAATCTAATATTTGTTTTTTGAGATTTTACTTTAGGAATATATCAATCATTAGATAAAATACAGGTACTTTGTACAGTAAAATATCTCAAGATAGTATCTGGTCAGTCTCAATTATGTTTGTGTATTCATTCAGCAAACACTTATTTAAGACCATCTATGTATGAGGTATTGGGTGTTAGGCTCTAGGAGTGAAAAAAGAATAAGGAATGGCTTCTTAATGACTTGTAAAGTAGTAACCACATTATATTCAGGTATTTGTATAATAAATATGAGCCAGGGTGTACATTTCTGTCTTAAGAGATAGGGATGAGACTATGTTGAAATTGATCTGTACTGTTTTTTCATAGACATCCTTGAGAAAACGACATGTGTCTTATTTTTCTGTGTACCTTTCTTTATATTTCTAACTCTGGGGCACATATTTGGTGCCAGTATTATGTTTTCGATGTGTAAATTTTATCCAAATTGTTTGCAGTGGGTATGTGCCAAATTTAGCTTCATTATTATTGTAACTGGGTTATGTTGGAGTGTGCCCTTGGAAGGCACATAGGAGAAATAAAGATAAAGTGAGAGCATGATCCGTGTTAAGATTTGTGGTTGAGAAGGGCAAAGTCAAAGCTCATTCCTCTTGCTGCAGCAGATGTACAGGCATGAAATAATTTCTAGCAATCATCAGTCTTACTTTCATACTTATTCTCCTAGACCTTTCGTTCCCTTGAGATAGATGGTAATATTTTGTTGTCGGATATGTGAACTCCATAAATTGACCACTGCACTTAAACAAATTACTTACATTTTATCTTTATTTCTGGAATACTTTGGTACATACACTTTAAGATAAACTTCTACTTTTGGAGTTATACTAGAGAGAAAAAGATAAATAATTTTGTTACACAAAAATGAAAAACTTCCAGTGTCAAAAAAAGATACAAAATAGTTGACCAAATATAAAGGTACAAATGTACTTATTATCAAATTTTGGTATGCAGTGATAGAAAACTGAGCAAAGACATGACAAACCAATTTAATACAAATGGCCAGTAACATGTAAAAATAAATTTTACTCATTACTAGTCAAAGTATAAATGAAACTAGTAAAATGCCTTTAAAAATTGATTAAAAAATTGTTTTTATTCACCCATTTATTTTATTTTGACCAGAGTGAGGCAGAGAGAGAGAGAAAGTGAGAAAACAAGCCTCCAGGTCTGGGACTCAAACCGTGGTTGGCCATGTGGGAGTGTCTAGCACCTTATCCACTATGCCACCTGCTGGTCCCCTAAAAATTGATTTTTAAAAGAAAGCACATTTCAAATATTTATAAATTTTAGAATTGGTAAGAACTCTAGAATATTAGTATTTTCAAATATTGGTGGAGATCATGTAAACCAGGCCACCTGTTTTGGAAGACAATGTAGCAAAACCTATCCAAGACTGTATAAAATATTCATGCCCTTTGACTTAACCCATTACCACTTTTACTAAATTATTCCAGAGAAATAATTCTGAATGTTTGCGTATATGTACGTACAGAGATAGTCCTCAGAGCATTATCCAAATAAGTAAAAATGGATAATACCTTTTTTAAATAATTATTTAATTTAAGTCTATTTATTTATTTATTTTAATTTGACCAGAGAGAGAGAGAGAGAAAGTGAGAAAGCAAGCTGCCAGGTTTGTGACTCAAACCGGCCCCAACATGTGATGTCTTAAATACACATCACTGGGTACTGGTTAATTATGTGTCCATATAATGGAATACTTTGTGGCTAGTTAAAAATTCATACATACAGGAATATTTTGTGTGGGGAAATATTCATAATGTTTAGCTAAGTTAAAAACAAAAAGAGGTGTAAAACTAACTATAGGAAAGAACCTTTTTTCTTTCGAGAATTATTTATTTAGTTTGTTATTTATTTTTTTGTTTGACCAGAGAGAGAGAGAGAGAAAGAGAAAGGGAAAATGAGAAAGCAATCTGCCAGCTCCAGGACTCAAACCATAGTCGACCGTGTGGAACTCCAGCGCTTTAACCACCACACCTCCCTCGGCCCCCAGGAAAGAGTTTTTATTTACAAATACACTGGCTGTGTATATGTGTATTTCCATACAGAAAGAAAGTAAACATATGCTAGTATATTGATTGTGGTAATGGGAGCATTGTGATGTTCTTCTCCACTATCCCTAACTCCTATCTTTGAACTTTTTGTTCTTTCCCAGTTTTTTGCAGTTGGGTATATTATGTTTGTACTATGAATAGAAAATTAATTGTATTACAAAAAAAGATTCTCAGTATTGATCAGATAAACTATTTTTGTTAAATTCTAGGTAACACCAGTTGTTGCTCTTTCCAATGAGTCCTGGTCTATGTCATTTGCAAAATACCTCGAGCTTAGGTTTTATGGGCACCAGTACACTCGGAGAGCCAATGCTGAGCCATGTGGTCACTCTATCCACCATGATTATCACCAGTATTTTTCTTATAATCAGATGGTGGCATCTTTCAGGTAAGAAGTCAAAGGGACTTTGTAGATGATCAGATATTCCCTTGAAAGGTGTATAACATTTCCACTGTTACAATTAATTTGTTGATATATGTTATTCTCTATCTCCACTATTGCAAATGCAGAGGGCTAGACTCTATGAAGACCTTTCAGTGTTATTTCCTTTATCCCTTACCCTAATAAGTAAGTATTATTATTATCTTCTCTTACAGTGTTTAATAAGTGTTTAATAGAGCTAACAAGTGATGGAGTCATGATTCGAACCTGAATTGATCTATTGCTGACCTCACTCTTAACCGTTATTTTGAAAGTCTGCTGGAATTTTTACTAAGACACAAACCAGCATAAGGAAAATCAAATTATTTCTGATAGATAAAGTTCTAAATTCAAAGAATAGACAGTTACTATTGCGGTATTAAATAGTTTGACAAGGCCTTCAGGATATATGTAGCATCTGAACTCTTTCACCGTCTCCACCCCTACCACTTTGAGCTGGGCTTTCTCATCTTTCACCCAGATTATTGCCTTAGCCTTAACCATTGGCCTTGCACCTTCAGCCTCTTCTCTATATAGCAGTCAGTGATCCCTTTACTGGAAAATCAGCTGAGGTCATTCCTCTGATCTAGACACTCTAAAAAGTGTCTGTTTCACCCTGAATGAGAGTCAGAATCTGTTTACTGGTTTCTGAGCTCCTGCAGGCTCTGGTTGCCTAGGCCCTCTCTGTTCTCACTTCCCATTACTCTTCCCTTGCTTACCCTGCTGCAGCCTCACTGGCTTCCTGGCTGGGCCTCAGGTATGCCTGTGGGTTTCTGTCTGGGGCCTTCTGGTTATTCTCTTTCTGAACTCTCATCCCGCAGATGTTTGCCTGCAGTTTCTCTACCTTCTGCAGATCTCCATTCCAGTTTCATCTGCTGTGTAACCTTTTCACCTTGGCACCCCCTGCTTCTTTCTTGCTTTAGTTTTCTTCATAGCTCTTACCATCTGATACATGTTTAAATATTTATTTGTTCTGTTTATTACCCAATTGTTTTTCTAAATTATGAGGACAGAAATTTTGGGCCCTTGTTCAGTGCTGTTTTTTTCAGCACTTTAAACAGTGCCTGACACATACTAGACCCTCAGAAAATATTTGCTAATTAGAGCTTTTTTATGCTTTTTTAAGCAAGAGTATTTAATTATGAATCTAGGGCCTGTGCTGGGTGTTGCATTTACTAGTCAGCATAAGCCCTGGAAAAGAATCTTTATTTTTGTTATTTATGTATGAATGGTCCTCAGGAACTGAGAAGATAATAAAATGCCTAGTCTCATGTAATGGAAAAAGGGGTCCCTTTCCTTATTCATAGAGAAGGTTAATATTAAAGTAATTTTTATTTGTAGCAGATGAAGATAACCTCAAGGGATAGAGCAAATGTCATGGTACCAAAGTGCAGTGAGAAAACAAAACAAAATCCCCTCAAATTGGAGAGGATGTTAATAACTATTTAAAGCTATCTTCAGTATCTTGGGAACCAGCAGTTAGCATAATGGCTATGTCACTGGATTCCCATGTAGTCTACTGCAGTTCGCGTCCCGGACCCGGTGGCTTAAAACTCACGCTGGGCGCGTGTGCGTGCGTGCCTAAGATCCCAAGAGGAGAATGGAGGAGAAGGGATTGCAGCATGACCATCCCCCCTGGGGGGGGATTTCTCGCTTTCTGTCTCTAATGTCTCTCTCTGTCTGTCTGGCGAGTGCACGCACCCTATAGCGAAAATCTCTCCAAAAAAAAAAAAATAGCTATCTTCAGTATCTTTATGATTTTTTTTTTTTTGGTAGAGGTTTTTGTTATAGTGCGCTCACCAGACAGAGAGAGACAGAGAGACAGAAAGCGAGAAATCACTCCCCAAGGGGGGATGGCCACGCCGCAGTCCCTTCTCCTCCATTCTCCTCTCGGGATCTTGGGCACGCACGCACACGCGCCCAGCGTGAGTTTAAGCCACCGGGTCTGGGACTCGAACCACGGTCGGCTATGTGGGAGTCCAGCGACATAGCCATTACGCTAACTGCTGGTCCCTATGATTGTTTTTAATTGCCATTTTATAGAAACTTTATTTTCTCTTATGGCTTTTGATTTATTTAGTTGACCATCATGTACAGCTCTACTCCAGGTATTGAAATATTTTTAATTTTTCTACGGTTATTTGTGTTTTCTTTTCTCAGTTATTCTCCCATTCGACTTCTTGAAGTATGTGTTCCACTCCCTAAAATATTCATTAAACGTCAGGCCCCATTAAAAGTGTCCCTTCTTCAGGATCTGAAGGACTTCTTTCAAAAGTAAGTTTTAGTTTCTTTGATCACTCTTATTTATTTAGCACTATGTAATTTAAAACTATTTTTAAAATATCAAACTAGTTAATTTAACTTTTTTTGGAAACATAAATAACTTTATTTTTCTAATTGTGTTATATGTGTTTAATGGAAAAAAGTGAGATGTAGATAATACAGACAATTTTAAAAATAAGTTGAATTTTCTCAGACAAAACAAACAACTATTAAAATTTTGAGATACAATGTTTCAGTCCTCTTTTGCTCTGCAAAATAATATATGATTTTTAATTATATAAAATATATTTCACTTATAGTTTTGTATGTAACATCTTATTTTTCTATTTTTGTGAGAAAAATTTGATTAGAGAAACACTTTCTCTAGTGTTTAATATTCTCTTTCTGTTGTTAAGAGTTTCACAGGTATATCTTGCTGTTGATGAAAGACTTGCATCTTTGAAAACGGATACATTTAGCAAAACAAGAGAGGAAAAAATGGAAGATATATTTGCACAAAAAGAGGTAATTCATTTCTTTGATAGAAAACCCCAAAGCTAACTATTAACTTATTAGAAGTGTGAAAGAGTATGTCGGTATAGTGTCTCAATTCACTGAAATTGTTTCTGTTTCTTGTAGATGGAAGAAGGTGAGTTCAAGAACTGGATTGAGAAGATGCAAGCACGGCTCATGTCTTCCTCTGTAGATACACCTCAGCAACTGCAGTCTGTCTTTGAGTCACTCATTGCCAAGAAACAAAGTCTCTGTGAAGTGCTACAAGCTTGGAATAATAGGTATGGTTTGTAATCTGGTTTTCTTTTTCTTTTTTTTTCTTTTTCTTTCTTTCTTTTTTTTGGGAGAGGTTTTTGCCATAGGGCACGTGCGCTCGCCAGACAGACAGAGACATAGAGACAGAAAGTGAGAAATCACCCCCCAGGGGGTATGGCCACACCACAATCCCCTCTCCTCCATTCTCCTCTTGGGATCTTGGGCATGCACGCACATGCACTCGGCATGAGTTTTAAGCCACTGGGTCCGGGACGCGAACCGTGGTCGACTACATGGGAGTCCAGTGACATAGCCATTACGCCAACTGCTGGTTCCTCTTTTTATTTTTTAAGATAGAGATTTTTGCTATAGGGTGTGTGCGCGTGCTGGAGAGATAGAGACAAAGAGACAGAAAGTGAGAAATCATCTCCCCAGGGGGATGGTCATGCCACAATCCCCTCTCCTCCATTTTCCTTTTGGGATTTTGGGTGTGCATGCGCACATGCCTGGCGTGAGTTTAAAGCCATTGGGTCTAGGACTCTAACCATAGTCAACTGTGTGGGAGTCTAGCGACGTAACCATTACACCATCTGCTGGTCCCTCAATCTGATTTGCTTAAGATGACTGCCAAATTTGTTCTGCCATGATTTTAAAATATAAAGGCTTTATTAAATAAATTTTGGATTTTTTTTTTTGCTTTATTCTCACATTATAGAAACTGTTGCTTTCTGTTATCTTCCTGCCCCCTTCATCTTTTAAAGTATGTGCTAATCTTTAACTAGTTTGTGAAGATATAAAAACCAAAAATAAAAAGGGCCTTCAGTGCTGTTTCAAATGTGAGTGCTACTGAATTGAATATAACTAAATTAGTATGCTATGAGAGATTGATTTCGGGGCCAGTAATTTTAAATATACTAATATCTTATAACTTTATTTTAAATATTTTTAGAAATATTTTTCTTTAGGGGCCAGCAGGTGGCATAGTGATTCAGGGGCTGGACTCTCACATGGCCCATGATAGTTTGAGTCCCAGACCTGGTGGCTTGCTCTCTCATTCTCTCTCTCTCTTTCTCTCTGTCCTACTCTGGTCAAATTAAAAAAATAAGTAAATAAATCAGTAAAGTTAAATAACTCTTTAAAAAACTTTTTTTATTATGACGTGGTATCTTTCTTTCGTAACTGTAGTTTTATCAGTAAGAACTCTTGATTAGTTGATTAGACATGACCAAAACTTAGTCTTAGTTATATACAACTTTAGTCTATTGCAATCTAAAGAGTAAAATTGAATTATTATGATTTCAAAGTTATACAAAGATAATTTGTGAGCATGATTCAAGGTATAAGAAACAAAATCATTTTTTTTTTTTAACTTTGTTTTTTGCCTTTGGTGATAGGTTGCAGG